GTAAAAAGAGGGAATAATGTAGTTACAGAACTTCAAAATGAAGAGGAAATAAAGTAGATTTCAAGAAAAAAATAAAACAAAAACCTAAATATAACCCGAAAACGAGACCAAACTTTACTCCTAGCCCTAGCCTGATGCCTTCCCCTAATACTAACTCCAGTCCCAACATAACTATAACACTAAATGAAGTCCTAGTCCTAGCCTAGATCTAGCCATCATCCTAACCTTAGCTTCTTATTCATACCACCCCTACCCAAAAAGTTGAAAATAAAAATGCCATATGACATAGCAATCCCAATACTTGCTATTTATACTAGAGAAATAAGAGCCGTGGCTTGAATATATGTAAAACACTGTCCATCTCACCATTATTCACAATAGCAAAAAGATGAAAATGACATAAATATCCAACGATGGAAGGATGGATAAAAATAACTATGGTACATACCCACAATGGAATATCACTCAACATTAAAGAATAATGATGAATCTGCAAAACACCTCATAACATGGATGAACCCGGAGGACATTATGCTGAGTGAAATAAGTCAACCACAAAAGGACAAATATAGTATGGCATACAATTATAAAACATCAAAAAAGGATTTCCACACTAACCAAAACATTCTTCAATGGTCATCAGGGGTGGGAGGAAAAAGGAAGGCAAATTACTAACTAATTAGTTTAGTTTTTATGTTTTGTTAAGTGCCATAAAGTCAGTGCCAACTCTTAGTGTTTAGAGTTTAGAGTGTAGAGAGTTTCCAAGGAGCAGTTGGTGGGCTTAAACCTCTGACCTTGTGGTTAGCAGTCCAGTGCTTATCCTACAGTGCCACATCAGGACTAGATGCATATTAACTTGGGGAAGTAAAAAGAAAAGATAGGGAGCAGGGATTGTAATTATTGCAATGAAATGAAATATGGTAGGATGAGTATAAAACCAATGTTCTCCCATGTAAACTATCACTCATTTCACAATAAAAACTTTAAAAAAAATTATGAGAAAGCACAAAATCATTGTGAAATATTAATTAATAAGACAGTAAGGGGTATTGAGAGTCAACTCTATGGACAATCCTTTTCTAGATATAAGGTTGATCTGCACAGTTTCTGACAAGCGAATTTGGGAGTTAAATGAGCAAATGTAATCAAGTCTTAAAGTATCCAGCAGAAAAAATACATACAGGAGTACAAACGAATGCACCTGTTATCACTGAGGAATGATTGACTGCTTAGCCTACTGCCAGATAGCATTCTTGACAAGGCGAGTCCCCACCATCATATCCTAAAACCAAAACCAAAACCAAACCGTTGAGTCATTCTGACTAACAGCATTTGGGGGAGGGAGCATGTTATTTCACTGTTTTGTGCTTTATTTTTATGATTAATAAAATATATTTAAAAGGAAAAAGAGAAAGAGAAAGATCATGAGATTCTTTTGGATTATCTAGATGGTTGCTGTTGTTAAGTGCTGTTGAGTCAGTTCAGACTCATTGGGAGCCTACAATGGGTTTCCAAGGATTGGTTGGTGGGTTTGAACCTCCAACTTGTGGTTAGTAGTCCAGTGCTTACTCTACAGTGCCATACCACCAGCTAGACACATATTAACTTGGTGAAGTAGAAGGCCAAAAAAAAAAGGAGAGAGAGGAGAGAGGGAGATTCTTCTGGATTATCTGGGTGTTGTTAAAGTCAGTTCCAACTCATAGTGACTCTGTATAGGGTTTCCAAGGAGTGGTTGGTGAGTTTGAACCACTGACCCTGCAGTTCAAAGGGACTTTACATTCCAGCACATTAACCCGCAGCACCACAACAGGTTATATCTTTATTATTTAAGGATATTTGGCTTGGCAAGAGGGTTCACACCCTAGCAAAATGATCAAAATATTCCTCTCAAACATATACAATATTCTCCCTGAGGAAAGTATTGGCAAATGCAACTTTTCTCCCATTTTATAATTAATCAATTAATTTATTTGTTGACTGAATGAATGATTAAACTCCATCTTCTGATTTACTGTAGCACTCTTCTCACTGCACTACTGAAACTATGGCAGATTGAATTTTAAAGGAGTGCCTGAGCAACCAGGACCTGCTTGTACAATATCGAAAGACAAACATCTCCCCGGCAATATAAGCTCACCTTATAGGGAGACAGCTTTTCATCATGAAGTATGTTGAATCCCATTTCCCAGCAGTAGCCAAGATGATGTTTATAGAGCTCCCAATTTATAGCTAAGTAGTCAATTACCCAATAGCCTCAAGGTTCTGCTCATACATGTACATTATGCTGGTGGAGCAGTAGGAGGGTTGGCCTCCAAGTTCCTTTGCCAGCAAGCATGCTAAAAGAACAGCCAGAGGGCATGGACTGGCTGACACATTTTTATTTTTAAACTACATGTTATTATACCTGTTATGAAAGAATACTTTCTTCTTTGGAAATTGGCTCTTTCCTCATCTTGTAAAGTGCTACAAAAACTCTGTAGGGTTTTGATTGTTTTTGCTATAATCATTATTGTCAAACTGTAGCATAGATGATTAATGTATATTTTAGGATTGTCCTGGGGCTGGTATTTGTAAGGATGCTCTGAAAGTTGTTGTTGTTGTTATGTGCCGTGGAGTCGGTTCCGACTCATAGTGACCCTGTACAGGGTTTCCAAGGCTGGAAATCTTTATGGGAACAGAAAGCCTGGTTTTTCTTTCATGGAACAGCTGGTGGTTTCAAACTGCAGACCTTGCAGTTCACAGCCTGATTCGTAACCACTACGCTACCAGAGCTCCTAGAGAATGCCAGTGAGACCCTTCCAGGGTGTCTGTGAATATCCTTTAGGAAAAGCAAACTTACTTGAGGAGAAAATCAATTTTGTGGTTAGAAATCATTTAAAAGAGATGGGGTTTCAAGATAGTATTGGGGGGCTCCTAGTCTCTGCCTTTGGTGGGCTCAGCTATTTGTAGCAAAGTGAGAGAGAATGGTATCCTATGCAGAAAATACAAGTTTATTCCTTCAGGATGACACACCGAACTATAGGTTTGGCTTCCTTGTCTCCACCATTGAACAAAATGTTGAGTGACTCTAACTTTAGGGTATCTTTTAACCCCTCATAGTTAGAAATTATTAGAGAATTTATTCCTAGTTACCAAGCTGTGAATAGTAAATGTAGCCTCAAACAGGTGGTACAGTTTTTTGATCATTTGATGTTTTTGGCCTGATGACTACTAAACACCTTTTGAGTTACTTCAAGGGTTAATCAACAGGTCATCTGCAATTTCTGTAATGCTCAACTGAACTTTCAGAGTATTTCCTATCATTGTTTCCTTAGACATAGGACACCAAGATGCTGCTGCAATCTCAGAAGGAAATATTAACAAACATTGGAAGCATCATCATTTGTCAGGACCAGTGAATCACTGCAAGAAAGGGCACCTCAAGTTGTGGGGTGAAGAATGAAAACACTTGGAAAGAGTATCCCAGTATGGAGATACAAGTAATACAGGGTTCACCCAAACTGGGCAAAATGGTTAGGGAAACTACAGAAGTTTCCATCTTTTTGTGTTTTATATTTGAACATAGATAATAACAAAATACCCTTAAGTAAATGGTGGTGGTAGTGATTGTTGTGTGCTGTTGAGTCTGTTTTGACTCATAGCGACTCTTTATGGGGTTTCCAAGACTGTAAATCTTTTCAGAAACAGAAAGCCTCATCTTACCCCTGCAGATTGACTGGTAGATTTGAACCATGGATCTTGTGGTTAGCAGTCCAGCTCATAACCCACTACACTACCAAGGCTCCTTTAAAGTGAATGATAATTTATGGCAATTTCCAGGCTATTAGATCTTGAGTTATGATTTGACATAGAATTAAAACGGACAAAAGAAATTGTTTGCCAATCATTTATTAATTTTTTCACACAGTATAATTATCAACAAGAATGTCTCTAAGATAGTATCAGTAAGCCTTAAAGGTTTGTGGGCTGATGGATCTTGTCAAAGGGCCTCTAAGAATTTAACCCTCTGTTCACACATTTCCCCTTTTCCCCTTCCCAACACACTCACTCTCTGTGATTTCTTATTGGCCCCAGAAGATAAATGTTTATAAGATCCTGAGCAGGCTGTTTCTCAGCTAAAACTAACAAAGTTAGTAATAGTCTCAGACCCACCAAGAATTAGAGAAAGAGACTGAACACTACAGAATACAGCAGACAGTTTTAAATTTTGAGTTCTTGAGTTGTTTGGGAAACACCTGACTTTTGCTTCATGATTTTTTTAGATATTTATAGAGTTAAAGTTTTTTTTTTTTTTTTTAAAGACTAATTAGAATTTTAGGTCTTTAAACTTTATTTTCTGCAGAAGTTACTTTCTGTGCACTATATTCAAAGGTGGTTGTAAAAATTCAGGCACCTCATAGAATCTGCACAAATTATGCCGCAATATATGAGAAGTTAACTTGAGATAAAGATGAATGTAATTTTTGTTGTTTTTAAGTACTGTTGTGGTCGGTTCTGACTCATAACAACCCTGTGTATGGTTTCCAAGACCTTTGTGGGCACAGATAGCTTCATCTTTCTCGCAAAATGTAGTCTAGGCCCAAGAAAAAACATTAGCTGGAATATTAAAAACATAATTTTGAAATTTCCACATGATGGAGAATCATCCATTTAAAAAAAAAACCCCACAAAATTCTTTTGAATTTTGAATCATTATTCTTGTTATTTTAAAGCAGTAAGTTGACATGTTCCTCAAACAAAACTCAAATTGAATAATCTATGTGAAAAAATGCACACCACATATGCACCAAAGAGAAAGACATATATCAATAAAGAACCACTTAAGAAAGAATAATAGACAGAAATACATGAAATTAGTGTAGTTTCAGAATTTGGAAGGAAAGACATTGTAACATCCTAATTTCCCCACAACCAGAAACGCTGAGCCATCATTTGAACCCAGCAGTTCTCATTTTCCTTTGCTCAAGCTTTGGCCGGTGTCAGGATTCTGGCAGCATCTCTTAAGGGCGATATTGAGATCTCTGCTCTTGGATGTACTCATAGAGAGGGCTGGAGCGCACCGGGGGGTTGACGAACTGACGCTTGCCTTGATCTTCCTCTCGGAATTTCCTCTCCCGCTCCTGCCGGCGTCTCTGCTCTTCTTCTTGACGCAGTTCTTGCTCTTGGCGACGCCTCTTATCCCCAGCAAACTGATCCTGGGCCCGGTACTGCCTGTCTCGTTCTTGCCTGCGCCTCTGTTCTTCCAGTTTTTCGCGACGCAACTCCTCTTCTTCCTGGTGAAACTCCCTCTCCTGGTCCTGGAGGCGTCGCTTTTCTTCCTCCTGCTCTGGGCGTCTCAGTTGCTCGTCCCGGAAGAAGGCACCATCTAGTTTCTGACGGCGCAGCTGATCTTCCTCACGGAACTGCCTGTCGCGCTCCTGGCGGCGTAGCTGTTGCTCGTCCCGTTCTTGGCGCAGCTGCTCTTCCTCGCGGAATTGCCTGTCGCGCAGCTGGCGGCGCAGCTGTTCATCTTCGCGTTCCTGACGCAGCTGCTGTTCCTCTCGGAATTGTCTGTCGCGCTGCAGGCGGCGCAGCTGTTCGTCTTCGCGTTCCTGGCGCAGCCGCTCTTCCTCGCGGAATTGTCTGTCGCGCTGCTGGCGGCGAAGCGGCTCATCTCCCCGCGCTTGACGCAGTTGCTCTTCCTCGCGGAATTGCCTGTCGCGCTGCAGGCGGCGCAGCTGTTCGTCTTCGCGTTCCTGGCGCAGCCGCTCTTCCTCGCGGAATTGTCG